GACAGGGTCGTCCCAATATGCGTTTTTGCAATTTGCATATAGGCAAAAACGCATAAAAATGCATAATAAAATTGCTTTGTATTCGTTCTCAGGAAGAGACGGAGACACTCGGAATGGCCCGAATGGGGTAGCAATGGCTAACAGCAATCAGCAGCTGACAAGGTTGCTGATGGCCTGCTCTCTCGAGGGTTGCTTACAAACATGCTGATAGTGATTTTCACTCCCACGCATATACTGCTACCAACTTACCATCGAAACGAATGAACAAATCGCAGAGGGACTGGCTCTCCCAGGGGCCGAGTCAAACTTCCCACCTAGCGCACAGGGGAAAAACATGCGGAAAGTCGCATATTCGTTTAAAACAAAACATGGCGGAGTGGGGCACTGTACTCACGATTCTCACACATTCCGCACCGTTTCTGCCGTCTGTGTTTACAGTTTAGGGATGAAACACAGACCGGATAACAGCTAATGCACATACAGGCTCGCTTATCTGGGTATCTGAATTAGCACTCTGCTTTCGCACAGTTGACAATATTCGACTGTGTCCCTTTCATACGCTAGCCTGCAGCCCCAAACAAACACCCATAGTTCACGTTTTTCAAAATATTTTTAAAAAATTTTCAAAACACTTTTTAAGTAAAATGAAGACTGGGCGCATCAAAAACACTCCGAGGACTGAGAGATGTCGCTGCAAGTATTCGCCTACGTATTTTTTGCCGCAAACGAACAACTAATACAAAAAAACACAGCTACGGTGGTTACAGCGATTGCTCGGGTGCACCCTCCACTACCACTGTACCACTGCCGATGCCGCTGATGTAGATGTTGCTGCAAGCACGCCCGTACATGGGTCCGCCCACGCGTAGGCCCGCCCACGCACCGGCCGGCCCGAGCAAACCTTTTCTTGCGCGAGTTCCGCAAAAATACGAAAGTACCGAAAAACTTGCCCAAGCCTCACGGGACAGACTTCAGCGCCGAGAGGCCTCGCGCGAAAACCGTTATACCGCCCCGTGGGCGATCTGCCCGTATATTCCCGTTTTGCGCTAAATTTCGAAAATCGCAGTCCATCGTGGTGCGCCGTCTTGCCGAACCTTGTTCCACGTCATTTCCCCACACGTCGGCGTCAACACCCCCTCTCGACGTATTTTAGGGTAGCACTCCCCTCGAGATGCACCCCGCATGCACCCCTCGCCCCGTCAACACCATCAACACACCCCAGAAAACCCCGCAAACGAAACCCTCGAATTAGCTCGTACGGCCGGACCCGACCGTCTGCACAATTGAACAGTAGACAATGACGTCATTGTGTCCGGTGTACCACGGACTGCTCCTTCTCTGACGTCTGGCGTCACTCAATGTGCCGTGCTCTCTCTCTGCCATGAGCCGAATTGGTGCGCGCTTCTTGCCCCGCCCCTTTTCCAGGTTATGGTACTTGCGAACGCAGCCATTGGTTAGGCGTTGGGGAGAGGAGGGGGGAGGGGGGGTGAATGACGTGGCATCGGTGCCAAGTAATGCGTTCCATATGG